TCGACACGTTCGAACGCTGTTGTCGGATGAGGTTGCACTGTTGCACCCTGATGTAACCCGTGCAAAACTGCAGTCTATTCATCCTGCTTGCCCTTGCTCAACATGTTCAATCATCAATAGTTACTCGTAGAGTCGTAGAGGTTTGCTGGGCACACTTCATTACACTTCATCAAAAAACAATATACAGAATAGGCAGTGCGGAGGTGCCCCAGTGGATTATCACCGATTCCCAAGAGCGCAGCCAGCAATTGTGCTTCTAGCCCTTTGTCGGATGAAGCGGCAAAACGAGCCTCCTCACGCACACGTTCTTTGCCTATCCTTTCAGCATGCATGTGCTGGCTTCGTGGTTCAGGGGACGCTCTACTGTTTCTCATGACCAATGGATGCCTTGTTCATGTTTCTTTCTGGAGTTGCCCAGCACCATTCAATGTATTTTGGTGGGTGAGGCTGCACAGCATCGCCTGCAGGCTTCCAGAATGACGACTTTGATGATGGTGCATGGGGTGGGATGCAAGTGCCAGGGAATTGGGAGCTCAATGGGTATCATGACGCATTCAGAGCACTTAGATGAGTGCACTTGTATACTTTGTAGTTGCACGCGATGTCAGGATTCAGGGTAAGAATCTAAGTTGTCAAGTGCAAAAAAATCATCAGCCGCCGGACAAAATAGCAAATGTAAACCTGTCATGCCTACAAGGAAATTGAGAAAGCCACCCGGGATAGCACACCAACTTCAACCAAGGGATTGCAATTTGGCATGGTTGACTTGCCATGAAGGGATTCAACAGTATGAGGTGCAATTGAACTAGTGGTGGGTTCTTGAACGAGTCCACCCACATTGTGTTGATGTCCCAGCCAAGTACGAACGAGTGAGGGAAGTAGGGATAGGCCTTCAGACGTTGTGTCTTGGGACTCCAAAGCTTCGAGAGCAACGATTTGATGATTTGGGAGAAAGTGAGAAGCTTTGTCAGATCTTCTCATTGTTGATCACCAATGGTCCAATGGTGCATGACAATTTGAGGTGTGCTGAGAATACTGTTTGAGAAACATGACCAACAATACCAAACGGATCCAATGATGAACTCTTGCTTGTGGGCTTGGGGGCTTAGGCCCACACGCGGCTGTTCAGCACAGGATGTGGCAAAAGATCATGTTCAGAACATGTGTGCTGCATTGTGCTGCAACCTCGGTTCCACAGGAAAATTTTATATAACCGAGTTGGGCTAGCACATTTGGTGACTTAATTCCTTCTTCTCTCGAAAGTCGCAGCAGCAATCATTATCGAACCAGCAAGCCGGGCGAGGTATGGTTTCCCTATCTACACCAACGCCACGCCGCCCGCAGTTAGATTCAACCATGGCATGTTGGATCTGACCTTGATCAACCGGAGCTTTCCTTGAAATAGATTTGGCATGATTTGGCCATGAAAGTCTGAGAATCTGAGAGCAGAGGTGGACTACATTTTCCATTGCGACCCTCCAAACATTAGGCCACGGCAAAACGATTTGCATATAACATGTACTTGTATTTGTTGGAACTGTTCTGCATGGCTAATGACTGCTAGCGTTTGTCATCGGTGTGATGTTTTTCTATTTAGCCAAGGGAAAGCTGCATAGAGAATCATCATTTTTGTACTTACTGTATATAGAGATTCAACCTCCGAGTGCAGGTACAGAGGTGAAGACTCCGCAACCTGGCATGGGGAAGTTGGTGTGAATTAGTTTTCAATAGTTTTCAGCTTCAAGTTCTTGAGGCAATCCTGCAGCTTTTGGGGTGAATGGATTCGCTTAGTCACGCTGCCCGCCTGTGTGCGTGCGTGCGCGCGTGCATGTGTGTGTGTGTGTGGCACCGGTGCTCAGGAGTACAACCCCACCGGTTTCTACCGCAGAATCTTTGACATTCCTTCCTTTTGGCTTGAAGGACTTTGGTTTCATCATGAGCGGCATGCCTTTCCACTAGTGTTTGCAGTAGATCAGTGCAGGCAACTACCAGGTCTTCCTGCATTTGGGCGCTGTTTGCTGCACTTGCCATGCATTTCTAAACGGGCACTCATTGGGCTTCAGCACGGACAGCAAGCTTCCAGTGACCTAGCTGCAAGAATTGTAAGAACTGGAACCTATTGCAACTAGTCAGTCCTGTTGTTCTTGTCGATCAGCAACGGTTATTTGTCAACATTGCCTCAGGTGGAGTTTAATGTGACCAAATACTTGCGGCCAGGAGCCACAGCCAAATCTATAGCGGTTGAACATGTTTGAACACTTGCAGGCCCGCTTGCAGCGTGCCCCAGCATGTTTTCACTTGCAGGTCTGGCCAGAATTTGCTGGCACTTCGAGTGCTTTGTTGGGGTGCAGCTGCATACTTGGAAGACCAGGATATGCTACTCAGTGGCAAGTAAGCGGCAAGCGCCGGGGGGTGACTTGGTCAGGGGATTCTCGCTGCTTGTTGCCATGAGGAGGAGGAGGACGAACAGCAGAAGGTGGTGGTGGTGATTTGTTGGCAACCATGTCTGAAAACACCTCAAAGCTAAGTGGTTGTGTGCAACTGTTGCACACACTACGCCGTGAACAAAGTATTCAATGCCTATTCTGTACACGTCTCTCATTTTGATTCACTGCCTGGGGCTTTGGTGAGCAACCGACTAAATAGAAATGACCTACTACTATGGCTGGTCTTAACCGATCGGGGACAACTTGCACTCATCACGAAAGGTAGCGGTTACGCTACCTGAGTTGTCTTTGCTTTAGCAACAATGTATTGGGGGTGGTGAAGTGCTCCGACTCATGATTTCGATGGTTTAAGAGTTGGTTTTAAATGTCGGGGGGGGGGGCGCCCCCCCATTCGACTCCACCCTGCGCCGCGGAGAATTTGGTAGCGATCTGAGCAGACGCAAGTAGCCAGCAGCAGCAGGAAACCAGCAATGCAGCAGCAGCAGTAGCAACACAGCAAAGCAGAAAACAGCAGCAAAGCACCAAAGCTCACACAAGTTTGGCCTCCACAACCCTTGGTTTTCGTTCAGTTTTTGGGGGGTTGCGCAGACGAAATTGAAAGAGGGGGGGACAGCAAAGCAGCAGCAGCAGCCTTCAGGATTCAAGAAACAGCAGCAACCAGCAAGAAGCAGCAACCAGCAGGAGCAGCAGCAGCAACCAGCAGCAGCAGCAACCAGCAGCAGCAGCAGCAGCAGCAATCAGCAGCAGCAGCAGCAGCAACCAGCAACCAGCAACCAGCAACCAGCAACCAGCAGCAGCAGCAGCAACAGCAGCAGCAGCAGCAGCAACAGCAGCAGCAGCAGCAGCAACCAGCAGCAGCTGCAACCAACCAGCAGCAGCAGCAACCAGCAGCAGCAGCAGCAACCAGCAGCAGCAGCAACCAGCAGCAGCAGCAGCAACAGCGGCAGCGGCAGCAGCAGCAGCAGCAGCGGCAGCAACAACCAGCAACCAGCAGCAGCAACCAGCAACCAGCAACCAGCAACCAGCAACCAGCAGCAGCCGCAAGCAGCAGCCGCAAGCAGCAGCAGCAACCAGCAACCAGCAGCAGCAACCAGCAGCAGCAGCAGCAGCAGACATGCTACCTTTCGTCCGCCCCCGTCTCCTCAAGTGATTCTGTCCACTACTCAGGTGGTGGTTTGCCGGCATCACAAGAGATGTTTACCTATATGCACGGCCCAAAGAGCACATTCGAGATATTGAAGTTCAAGCTCGGTCTGATGGCAAGCTGGAGTTGCAAGCAGCCACTTAATTGAGCTTGGCACTTTTCGATGCATCACCGCGTCTTCACGTCGCATCTGAAGCCTGAGCAGCATTCTTCGAGGACATGGCTTGTGATGGTTCAATGCCTCGATGCGGAGCCCTGCAATGCACGTTCCTGGGCCGACATGTTCTGTGTGCCTGCTTGGCAGGAGGCCGGTTTGTAGTGACTTACTCCGCTGCCGACTGCGAGGCTGTTTCATGGGGCAGACAGAGTAATAGATTTCGAGATGCCGTTCCTGGTCGGTCAAGATCGAGCAATTGCACGCCAATCTGTGGCACTGCCGCACGCGAAGCTATGGAGTGCTGAGGCTGGAGTGCGTCGTTGGACGTTGCCGTTTTTTCCAGATTTTTTTCAGGTGTGTTTGAGCAGCTTGGGCCCAGCTGTCCGGGCTTGGAGTTGTTAGAAATAGGGTTGTTTGAGTAGTATTTCCCGTGTTTTTGCGACCTACGAGTCTACGAGGATGCTTTTGTGTTCTGTTCTTGGCAGACATCCACTTGCATTTGTATAACAATTACAGCATGTGATTCTTGAGACACAAGTACCGTCACCAAACCAAGTTCGGGCAGGTGTTGCATTTCGATTGCTACTGACTCGTTGGAGACGACAATGTTTTGATATGTTTGGTTTGGGGGGAACGATGCTCAACAAGCAGAGATAGCTTGAGTCATTGAGGATGTTTCAGGGAGTTTTCATGGATCAAAAAAGAAACTGTTGAAGCTGCACCAACATTGAAGGCACCTTGTTCCGATAAAATACGGCGAGTTTGTGCTCCAGAGCAACTGTTTCATGAGTGTGGGCTAAGGCGTTCAGAGAAGCAGT